GGTTTAGATTTTAAACTAATATTAAAAATTATATATTAGGTAACTTTTATGTTTATTAACAATAAAGTATAATTAATTATTTTAAATCAAAATAGATTTTAGTTTAAAATAGCTTCAAAATAATATGATTTCTACTTGTCACAACATATCGTCAATGTGGAAATGAAACCTTTTTGCGAAAGTATACGATTTAAAAAAAAATTATTTTAGTGAAATCTAAAAGTTGCAATTTTTACTGAAGTTCTGTATCATAGTCATTATTAATCAGTGCAATTTTCATCTTTTTATGTATCCCCTAACAGAAATATTACAGTTGACAATTTGGAAAAAAATTCTAAATTCCAATTTTTAAGAGGGTGTAATTTTCAACGGGTACCTTAGTTACCAATGATTTTTTTTAAGTAACTTTACTGTTATGTGAAAACCTACAGAAAAAATTAACGCTGTGATTCTATTCCTTCTTTCAGAAATTACTCTCTGAAATCGAACTTAGTTCATTCGCGTTCCATAGATTTGGTTGAAAATATTTCCCAAATAAAAACATAGAAGGTAGGTATATAATATTTCGATTTGTAGGCTAAAGTATACTGAATTCAATTCTTTTTATTCTAGAATGCTAACTTTTAAACAAAGAATATAATTTCAAATATCTTCGGACATAGTACCATATTATATTACACAATTTTTTTCTTTCAATTGTTCAAAAGGATACATAAGCTTTGTTGGCTGGATATATTTTAAAATAAATAATATGAGGCCTCGCCTACAAACTTTTCCTATTTAAAAATCAAAATACATTAATGTAATATTTATAATTATTACCATAATACGAATTAAATATATAATGATTATAAGAACAATATACCTCGTTGGTAAAAATACGCTGTATTTGTTGTTTAATGTAATTGCATAATTATCAGTATTGTAGCGATCAGGCAAATATTTCATTCAGCGGTTATTTCAAATTTAACTATCTTTGATATACCTTCCCACTTTTTGGAAAGTTTGTGTCCCTTCAGCCTGATCTTTAAACGAATTCCAGACATTTTTACACATGGAAAAATCAATTAATTTTTTCAAAATAAAAAATAATTTGTGTACTTACAATAAAAATTTAATTTGTGTACTTATGATTCACTTGGTGGCATATATAGAATAACCGATCACGAGGAGTCCGCAATGATCCGTGCCAATCTTTATGAATTTAATTGTACGTCATTTTCATTAGCATTAAACTGCGTAATCAACGCAAGTTTATATGAATCCTCGTCGCCGTCGTCTTCCTCGTCCACAATCGCAATCAAATCCGTGGGAACATTCGCTCCCATCACTCGTGTTTCCAACAATTCAATTTTTATTTCTTCATTTAACCTACAATAATAAAATAAATTTTCAAAAACACATTAAGAAAAATTAATAAAAACATGAAAATGATATATACATCACCGCTCGAGCAATGAGACATCAGTTAGATCAATTGAGGAGTATCAATTTTGCTGAAAATCCTACTTACGGTTTAGCCGCTGGCGTTGTTCACAGACAGACGGACATTTTACTGTAAACTAACTTTTCGGTATCAAGGACCCACAAAACGTGGATGTTGAGTACACGTTTGAGAAATTATACGTAGGTTTTTATTTCTTGGCGCAAGAGGGCCTGTCTCCAAGATTGAATATCTCACACGTATTTTCTTTGTTGTGCCACAAGATGCCGCATGACCGCCAGCTCTGCTCGATACCACAGTCTAATAACTAGGGCTGTGATTTATATACATTTGCATATTTTGTGTTAACTAAAACATTCTGTTTCAACAAATTGTATACGTTTTGAGGCATTGAGAACCAATTTTAGTTCTTTTCATATCGCATAAATCACCATAATTGCATATTTGGGCCATATTTGCTTATTTTTGTTTCATATTCACTCCTCATTCTCGAAAAAAAACCCAAAAATTACGGTTCCGTCAGCGTGCAAGCGGCTCTGACAGTTCTCTTGCCACTTGCTATGGCACATCATGTGACCTGCTTTGAAGCAATGGACTTTCACGGATTTGTTTACGTTGCCATAGCCAGAGGTGGATTTACGAATAGGCACAGTAGGCACGTGCCTACGGCGGCAAATTTTCAAGGGCGGCAAATTTTCAAAGGCGCAAAATTTTCTTGATTGATTTCAGAAGTATATGAATCTGAAACTAAGGCCCGTTGACGAAAGAAAACATGTTGCAATTCTAGTTGTCATGTTTTAGTTTCCTTTTAATGTTAACGTTTCAGTGTTGAAACGTTAATAATGTTGAACTTTACTTGCTATGAAGATACAGTTTATATCCAAAATTAGCTAATCCAAAAAAAATATTTAAATTATGAAAACAATGTGCAAAATATAATGTTACTATTAAAGTTAAAACGTTTAAATTAATGAGGAATTGTTACTGAAACGTTACAATTTTAAATGTAACATTAATTTTAAACAGTAGGCGGCAAATTTGATGTGCCTACAGGTGACAAAAATATTAATCCGCCCCTGGCCATAGCCATGGATCAATGTTGCCGCTCGCCTGACTCGTACTCGAAAAGCCCATTAAGATCTGTCATCGGCAGAATCAGTCGAAATGAAATGAGCATCAGGTGAGCTCCTATCTTGTCCACACACGGCACAAACAATGAGTGGTGTCAAAAGATTGATTTATTTACGACAAAAACAGTTAAAAACTATGTGTGACCTGCTTAGGGGAAACGTCAATTTGAAGCTACATTTATGTCCAGAAGCAAAACAAGGTGCCATCTCAGCATTTGCTCAAGGATCAGGGAAACTGGAGGAAAACTGATCGAGATGGGGATCATTGTCCCAGAAGCTGAAGTACTATTCTTGTTACAGGTACTTTAGAATTATACAATCCAAATGATAATTCATTAAATGTCATTGTTAAAATTAATATTACTATCCTTTTGGGCGCTCGGTATAGTCTCTAATTGTATAGAAGCATTAATTGGATTGTTGGTGAAGTAGATACCTTTTTTATTTTGATAAATAAATAGAGATATTGTCAGGTATCAATATTTTAATTCAACTAATGATCATTTCGATCGCGTAGCGATCATCCTCAGAGCTAAAAACAATACAAATATACAATGTGAAATATTAACAGGTTGTTTATTGTATACAAGATGCGTAAGCAGTATAGTATATATGCAATATATGTATAGAAGCAGTTGTGCAGCAGAAAAAAAATACTTGGGCTTGAACTTTTATATGGAATTTAATCGTTTAATGCAAGGTGTTGTGAAATAATGTACATAAATTGTATGTGAATTTTTTGAAGTGCGTTGTTGATACTGTCACCTGATGAATATGATTAATACATCGTGTTGTAGTTTTAGACATCGGCGTTTGTTGAAAATGTATTCCCGCCGTTTTTGTCCAGTCATTTTTGACAAAAGCCACTGATTCATACATCAAGGGACTAGGTAACGGTAAAATACTTAAATTAATAAAGACTTACAACAATATTTATTTTTATCTTCTGATTATTTTGAGAATTTCATAAGAAGTTTCGAAAACGAACATCGTATCTAAAATTTTTGGGGAAACGTCTGATGTTGAATTTTATGGTTGAAAACCCGTCGTGAGATCAGCAGCAATTCTCGAAAAGTATTGGTTAAAGAGACTAGCCACTGTTGTCGGATCATTCACATTTCTATCGTCTTTTAAAACAATATTCTCTACAAGGTTTCTAGTTGATTGATTTTTTACATTATTGCACATTGCTATTGTTTTATTTGAGTTCAAAATATCCTGATCATGTTTCATGATTTTAGCGTGCGTTATGACTTTTCTTAACCGATTTGTATTTTTTAAAGTACATAAGGAAATCTTGAGATACGTTATGATGCTTAGAAATGAAAGAAAGAAATAATTTGTTTTTACATGATGTTCAAATCCCTTGTTATATCCAAGAATCGCTTTTCCGTGAAATATTTATTTATTTTTGAAGAGATAAGCAAGGGTTAAAATTGAATGAAAGCGTTAAAAAAAGAATTATATTTATCGTTTGTATTGTATTGTAAACCGTGTCCCATGACTCCTGCAGCAAGTAATTGATGATTTTTCTTTAATTTTAGTAAACAACTACTCACACGTACATTGTTTATTGTGTCAGTGTTCGCATTTCTTATAATGGAAATAATTTGTGCATCGTAATCACTACCCTGATTTTTTTATTTCAATTTCATATCCAGTGGCTTTGTTAATTGTTATGTAATGGAATGTCTTCTTTGAATTTAGTGTTATCATTGTAGGTACATTTATTACGATATCTAAACTAAAAGTCAGGCTCGTGAATTGAGGAGAAGTCATATTTTTGTTGCAATACCTACATTTTTTTACTTTGTGAGATGTACATTAACTCTTATCTCCCATTATTTTTCTAAGAAATGATTCTTCAAAATTAAGCCCTTGACTTGATGGTTGTCGCTTGTAACAATTCATATGATTTCTGCATCTTGATTTGCTGTAAACATATTTTCCACATTTTAGACTAACGATACGGTCGCAATCGTGCGACATCTAGCGGCACGACCGAGAAAGACGCGACATACCGTGCGATATTCCGTCGTGAAGACAGGCCCTCACGTGCCAAGAAATAAAAACCCAAGTATAATTTACTACATACAGGAACAATAATTATTTTCATTTTTGGTATCAGGGTTCTACAATATCGAACGATTTCTTTCTGCGGAAAGATCGCTATTTCACACTATATTACATAACTTTATACTATGTATGAAGCATAGGAGAAAGTGAAAACGGCTGGAATCCGAGGGCAGTAGCATGGAGTAATGGGTGCTGCGTACAAGTAGTGTTAGTACCTTAAATAATAAAAATAATTTTTTAAACAAATTCATATTCATCAGTCTAAGATTGCCATATGGACTATCGAAAAACAGGCTCTCATTCTGGATTCTTTCATTTACAATTAACACATGTTAATTAAAAATCGAAGCCAATATTCATAAATTATTTTATTGAAATCAAAATATCATACAAAACAATTGTAAACACATTCTGAATCAATAACAATACTCGTTGGTAGAAAATGGCAATGATACAATTCAATGTAATGCTAGAAAATGTAAAAGATAAAAACTCACAACTCATGTAATGCTCTCCAATTAAAAAGTAAATAAATAAATTCACAAATAAAGGCAATATATGAATAATCTAGCAAAAAATCAATACCCCTACATGGCAATGACATTGTGCTTTTCTCTATATACATATAATAGTAAATTCCTTGAAAGGAATGTCAAATATTTGCGATTAAGTGGAGTTACAGCCATAAATTTGGCTGAACTTTTACACATGTCAACGATTAAACAGAGAGAATATGCAATCAAGAACATTAAACAAGTATATATTCCACTGAAATAAAGTACATATACAAGATTCAGTGTAGATTGAACACCAAATGACTGACAAATTCTATAATAATGGATAATAAGAGTACTGGCTATTTTGCTCATCAAAAGCATGCAAGGAAACTCTTACTCTGAGACAAAGCCAGGAAATCACTATAATTCTTTAATCATTACATTCAATGCAAAAGAAAACTTCTTAATAGATGTAACATTCTACTGAGCAATAATGGAAATGCTTCAGCATACATGTCATTTTATTGAGATCCATGATTATGGTGATTTAAATTCTTTACCAATAAACTTTTTGTGAGTACCAATAAATATAAGGCTCGCTGTTTCCTGACCATAGAGCAGAAGAAAGTTCTAGCATAATTAAGTTTTCGATTGGCCCAATTGCAATTGAAATGGCAACTCAATCCAATGGATCATTTATAAATATTGGTATACAGAGAGCTTTGGTCACTTTTGTCATATTAAATGTGTATATATTCAATTGTATATTCATAAAAATTTGATTATCAGCAGTAAAACCATACTAAGACACACCTCTTTAACATCCTACTTGAAGAAACAGGATATATATGACACTTCAATTCGTTTAGGCACTTCTTAAGGTATGATAAACCTATTTTCATTAAAAATTGGCTGTTGATAAAAAACAACCACAATGTTGTTTAAACACATTTTAAAAATTCTAATGAATATATGTTTTATGATTATTGTATTTTAAAGTTGCCTGAATAAATATGGTTCCAATTGGCAAGCTATTGAATTATGTTGATGGCACAAGAATGAAATGCTCACTATTTAATACACAGAATGACAGCATCCCTCAGGACCACATCTACCTACAAAGAATTTAGCCTTTGTTTAGTGTAGCTCTACTTGCCTGTCTATACAATGTAATATAAAAAGCAAACATAGAATAATTAGCTAAGGTTTCAAGACATTATATTATTATCGGACTAGTCTTATGAAAATCTTGTATTATTGACTCAATGCTTGAAACATGGTATAATTTTTTAATAAAACAGTTAATAAATGATAACCACACATGTAAGAAGCATAGTGAAGTTTTTACTGTAGTCTTATTGTATTGATCAAAAATAAAAAGCAGTTCTATCTGCACACATTTTCTTGAGTACTCACTTCCTGGGAGCAAGAGGAATGTGTGTTGGTTATTTCACGACCAAAACAAATCTGTAGCTTGTTTGCTAAATAGTTCTTTTTAAACAGGAGCAAAAATGACTACATATTAAATGAGATCAAAGTAATTGTGATAATTTATTTATTTCATTTATATTTAGAATTTAACTACTCATGGTGGAAGATGGAAGTGGGTGGGGAGCTATTATGGAAATTAAGATAACTTGTGCAGATTGAACTGGTTCACAATTAATTTCTAATTTTGTGTTTGAGGTTTGTTACAAGAAGGCTACACTTTACTAAGGCCTTATGTAGGCTGTGTTAGAAAAAAAAGAAGCAATTTAGGGCAACACCATCTTGCTTTGATTGTCAACCTTAAATTAAGTTTTTCATAATTCCACTTTCAGACCCAGTGGTATCTAAAACATTAAAACAATTCTGTACTTCATTTAATTTTTCAAACACAACCTACATCAAACAACATTTTGACATTCTCTAAACCAAGTAACTGCTGAAGTAAACGATTTTCCTTCACATGCTCACTGCATCTACAGCACTTAATATGCAATTGATTTACATGTCATTAAAACTGAATGAGTTGACTGATTTAAGTGAAACTATGAAAATGACACGAGGAATATAAACAACTCCTTTGGCACATCCAACTGCACGGTCTGACATGTAAGCTGTCAGATAACCTATGCTACCAGTAGATTATACTAAGTACCTACAAAACTATACAACAATAGAATGACTCATCCCTTTGAAAAGGTAGTTCTACGAATACATCTACAACAAAAGTCAACAACCAACAAACATACACCACTATGTCGAGTGAAACTTTTCACACATCTTTCATCTAGATTTATAAATACCAACTCTTCAAATTGTCAGACAGGAAACAATTTATATCTAGAAAATTCTGAGTGAAGACACTGTCAGAAATTTATTATCTACAACGTATTTTGTTCATAAATTCAGCTTATTTTTGTGACAAGAAAAGCTTTCTAAAAGACAGCTAAATTATGGCATCTAATGCAAAAGAGATTTATTAGTGAGGGACCATATCACTGGTGTCACCGCATAAAATTTATCAAAATAATGCAATTTATACTAATTCAGCAAAGAATGTAGAATATAAGTAAACATCTTCATATATAATATCAGACCAAGCTTTGGTGTTTTTACTACTGCTTCTGATTTTGCAACAAGCTGTCCTCAAATTTTTAGGTGCAGCTCAGGAACATGCCACAACCTTGAAGTTGTAGTTCAGTACCATACCTTACAGAAGAACATTGGTCAAAACTAACTAAATGATTAACTACTTTGCCTTCTCTACAAATGATTCTACTTAAGAGTATCCCACAATAATAATTTGTATTGTAAAACAAAGAATGACCCACTTGTTTTGCACATTACTTTAAGGCATGCAAGTACAACTAAATTTTAAGCATAATTTTGACCAGCTTATAAAAAAATTAATGGAATAACACATACAAAATTAGAACAACGAATTCCATAATATATTTTGCAATGATGAAAACAATGAACCTACTGAAGTTATGGTGGAATAATAACCTAACTCCATTCAACAATTTACAAAGTATTAATAATTTTCACATTCTATTTTATCACTGACACACTCACAATTATAACTCACCTAAGTATCCACCCCTTATCCCCCTAACAAACTAATCCTGCTGCATAATTTTATATGTTTAGCAGCAGGTCAGTTTATAGCATCTATACCCTGATGTGTATTAAGTCATAAAATACTTTATTCTACAAAAATGTTAGAAGAGAAATTACTCCGTTATATCATTGCTACCATATGCATAGTTTCTCTAACATGTTGAATTGAAGCAGTCTGCAAATTCAAAACTCTTTTGCAGATGTACTACCACATGCAAAGAATATTCTGTATATTTTGTTTGGTACATGAAATTGACATTATTCTTCACACACAAACAAACATAACACTGTTATTTTGGAAATGGTACATGGTTTTAACAGGAAGACATTAATTTACATATCCGCTTACATTGTGCAAGTGTTAAGAACATCAAAATTCTACAACATACCTTGAACAGAAATAACCTCTTCATTCAATTTTTCTATTTAAAAAAAATGACACAAATGGACAACAGAACATGCAACATACTCTATATACCGCCTTATCAAATACAATCATTTTCTTATAGCACAAGGTGGGTGATGGAAGGAGCAACAAGCCAATACCAAAAAATCATTAAATGCTTACTCAATAAATTTACAAAACCTACATAATAGAGAAAAATCTATGCCAGAAAGTTGTGTGTTAGCAATGATCCTAATTTGCATCACTTACAAATGACAGATACTGCTTAATAAAGTTTTCCATCAGATGAGTGAATTATTTGTTTCCATTTTCTGAAAGTGTAACAGAACAAAACTGCCATGTGCACTAGTACAAAAGTATAGACGCCATGAGATCTGAGTAACTTGAGCAATGTGTTGTTGTCATTAGTAGAATTCCCACAGCCAGTCAGTCTTGTGATTGAGTTTTCTCTTTATGGATGAAGTAGTATCTTGTTACAACTTTTATATGAATACTATATCGCAAAATTACGTCCAAATTATGTATTTCTTTATTAACATGAGTATTTGAAGAACTTGATACAAAAATAACCTCCAATATTGGTAAATAACAGAGTAGAGTTTTTTGATATGGAATAATATATCTTTATTCAATATACACAATTACCTTTTTTCCAACTGTACTGCAAGCAAATGAGCAAAATTTACTTTTTACATCAAACAATGATCAATCATAATAACAAGATACTTCTTTCATCACGAAGTGAACTACATCACTTGATTAAAATGCATTGTCTTACATTATTGCATTCTCATATATATATTTATTGTTTTTATATAAATTTTATAACAAGAATTACTGATGAGGAAACCAGCAGTTCATCTGATTTTAATTTTTAAGATCAATCTCATTATTATGTTATTTTTATTATCCTAATTCTTTATTAGTACTCCTACAAAGTGCAATTTCACAATCAGCAGTGATCAGTGATGAATAATTCAATTCCTTATTGTACTTACAACTAAAATGCAATGATTAAGTGACTTACTCTCATGTTTACCCTATCCCTTCTATTGCTACAAGATGCCAGTTGGAAAATGTGCAGCTCAGTCCAGGTGATGTCCTACTGCCTAGATCAGTTGTTTCTACTAAACACCCAGCACAGGGGCAGACACTCACATTGCAGCCACCGCCAATATCATATTTGTTAAAAATTATTATCCTCACAAATAAGCACATTTTAACAGAATAAATGAAAAACATTTTGCAATGTAAGCAAAGGACATCAGGACAAATATGTGAACTGAACTTAACAAACAACTGGCCAAAATAGTAGCATTCAAAGGTACATCATACGTATGGGAGTTGTGACAATAGCACAAAGGGACGTGAATGTAGCCAAATCCAGGCTGATATGTGTGGGACGCTACAGAGGCAAAGAGCCAAGCAGTGCCAGGGCAAGGGTTTTGGTGGCTCACCCAACACCCACCCAGGGAATTGCAATGCACTGGGCATACCCCATTTTACACTTTCTCCTTCTTCCCAGCTACAGGGCTATCTCGCTGTGCACTATGGTACAGTCTAAGCAAATCCAATGCATCCTGAGCTTGCCGTTTTTCGGATAGAAAGCGACCACTTGCTTCCTTCAGCTGCACCAGGAATATCCTACTGCAACAGGCAAGAGCCTCTTACAGATCTGCCATTGCAGGCAATGTTCTATATCTTCAACCATGACTCTAACGCCCTGAAAATGAGAACAGGGGCACTTCTAATAACAATGGCTGTGGTTCAATTTGGAAAGGGAAACCCATGCAGTTCTTGAGAGTATGGAATCAAAATATTTACAAGCCAATTTTTAATGTGCATTTGAAAACCTGGGCACTACAGCTACTACTGGTCATTGTACAGTGTCCCTGTGCATTTTCAGCGTGTCTCAAGCAGGTCTCACACTCCCCTTACCTGTCAGGAATGATGTCAGTGAGACTCTCAGGGTCCATGTTACTCAAAAGTTCCAACTCTTTTCCACCCAGCATTGAGATGTGAGAAAGATCACCCTGCAGCCGACCTACCAAACTTTCCAATTCTCGAGCACGACTGCCACCATCTACCTCATCTGTTGCAGCACCACGGAGCCTATGACACATTGCCCCATTAGAATATTGCAAAACACCATTGCCATGTAAAACTCAAATTTATTTTTACAGAACTGTGCCAGAGAGGTTACAATGAAAAATTCAAATTGTTACAATTTTCCTCTACAAATTATCTGAAGTACATGATCACTGAACTAAGCATTGATGGCTTTGATGAATGAAATGCAAATATTGTTAGATTTTGGAAAGGCATGCCTGTGTATTTTTCCTGGAGGAAGCCAGCGCTCATCATTCACCAACAGCATCAACATTGTATTGCGTTCCATAGTACTGAAATATTCATCATCATCCACTTCCGTTCCATCTTGTTCCAGTACAACTTTAACAGGTAAAGTTTCAGGTATTCCCAACTTTTCACGTGCTGTGCAAAGCAATACAAAGAGAATTTATCGATTTTAAACTTTTGAGAGTAACTCAAATTCTACCTACAAGAACAGTTTTGATCTCTCACTTTAATTTAATTTTCAGAATTTATTCATGTGTTTAATATCCTAATAAAACGTTCTATACTTGAAAATTGCACAGACCAAAATTGAAAAATATTTACTAATGTATTTAATACTACCAATAAATAAAATATAAGCATACAGCACAATCCACTGCAAGTAACAATCATATTTAGAACTAATGTTAACAGTAATTTGGTATATAATAATTACATTTTGCACACAAATATACAAAAAAAGAATATAAATTGCATTGAAATACAGACAGCAAAAAGGTCCCCCTTTATTATAACCTGTTCTTTGAGAACGTCAAACCATTCTCAACAATTTTTATGTTCTCTAATTTACAGTGGCATCACTACAAAACAACTATTCTGAGTTACGCTCTCAAAAGGGGTCACAAGCATGTTATTGGAAGCATAGATGTTAAAAAACAATGAATGCATTCAAATGCTAATAACCGAGTAACCCAAAATGAACTTCTATAACTTAAACAACCTAATTTATTCTAATAGCAAACTGACAAGAAATACTACTGGTAATTCACTCCTAATATCTGTTACTATTATAGAGGCACTAAAGCACAAACTTCAGCTATATGAAAACAAAATGTATACATCTACAACCTTTTTATTACACTATAAAAACATAAAAACTATTAAACCTTATTTTTTTAACAAGACAAATAACAAAATCTCCATAAATTTGTACAAGTCAATTCCATTAATTGCTACATGTATTGGGATGCAAAGGGATTGAGAGTCAAATATTCCTCCTGAATTGAAAAGAATAATGGAGGGAAATATTAAAAAACACACAATATACAATCTTTTCTTCTTTTTTTTCCATTTCAAAATAATATACAGTTTAACAAAACAATATTTTAATCATATTATTACAGCATATCATTGTTATAACAAACATTAATTAAGAAACATTTCTTATAATGGACATTTTTCATGGTGGGACTACATCAAAGAAATTGCAAATACTGCACAAATAATATTTTTAGAAAACAGCATAATCATGAAAGAAATGCCACATGTACATTTTAAAAACATGGCAGAATTATGTAAATCAACTAATATGCTTTGACACTGGAGAAAAACAACATGTGAATTTGCACTAATATGTAACAAGATTTACAATTTGTACACAATTGTTCATTCATTATGCCAAGTTTTGGATTTTACCATGCTATCTCACAAAAACTTACCTCTAACAATCAGCTCCTGTAAATTTGAGGCAACAACCCCTTTTCTATGCTCACGGGTGAGATCAACAACCTTAAAGGGCATTCCTTTACCACTAAGGGTATCTTCAGAATCCCTCTCCATTGATAAATCAAATAATCCACAGGTGCTGCTGGATTTCACAGACAAAACAAAACTCTTTACTCAATATTTTGCATCATATTTCAATATTGGAAACTTAAGAAATATAGTTTTGCAAATTTATGTCACGATTATGGGATTTATAAAATTGTTGATTATTACACACTGAAATTTAAAATATTTTATATGAACTTCATTACCTTCAAACATATTGTTTAAATGACATGAAATAAGAAAGATATTAATAAAACATTAAAGCAATCAATAGAGAAAAACCAAGGGTTATGACATTTATGGAGTTCTTACTAAGCAAATTTAAAATAATTAAGGTTTCACTTACTTACGAGGAGAATACAAACGTGCCGCGTCACGAATCCACAAGAAAATTAAATTAACGCTGAGGCGAAATAATTAAAACTCAATAATCGGCAACTACAGCTCTTATGACATGACACGCCTACTCAGGTCACCAAGAGTTCAAAAACAAAGAAGAGTGTGCTGGCGCCTCTCACGTCAGGGTAGACAACTTCAACATGTTTAACTTTGCTATATTTCGATTTATTTAGTATCTGTTGAAGTTCGATGAGCTATTAGTCATCCAATCGGAAGCTTAAACGTCACAACTGTAGGTGTCATCCAAACTCTCGATTGGATGACACTCCAACATCTGATTCACAACTACGTTTAAATGAAAATATATAATACCAACGTGTGACGCGTGCGTGCGAGACTTGCAGTGAGAATGGAGAAGCGGCATGCTGGCAGTAGATAGCAGATTTAACATACACTCCGAATTGTATTTAAGTCAAGGAATTTTAATGTAGGTATAGCTTACACTGTATGTAGTGTAATCATATCTCATATCATTTAATTTTCTGTGTTTAAAATGAGAGCATACGTGCCAAAGGTGGGAAACCATTGTCATTGAAGAAGTCCACTTGGAATTGAATTAGAAATTTCAGGGAAATCTTAAGTCGCTTCGGCTCACGTTGGTAATCGCAGCGAAACATTGTCAAAATCTCTTGAATTTTAGCAGTGCAACGATGAAGAAAATTGATTTTATGACAAGAATTAGGTTTCCTGTAATATTTGGAAGTTTTTTGTTGCTAACCTACTTTGGTTTTTCAAATAGGTATTTTTACCTTTTAATTACTGTGATGTATAAAACCCTCTTTGCCAGTATTATTTAATGTATTATTTTGTCCTAGACATATTTTCATGAGTGATATTGAGGAAAAAAGAGCCATACTCTTCCCTGTTAATGAGGAAAACAAAGAAATAATTGAAGCTTTCAAGAAAACAAGGTAAACTCATCCAAGTTTCATGGGTTTGAACATGTAAGACTGATTAATTGAATGTGTAATTATATGTGTCAATGGATAAAAGGATGTATAAGGAATATTCAAAAATAAATAATTGTTGAATGTTAAACAAATGTATTCATTCTTATACTTCACTCATTTATTGAACCATTCACACAGTAGCTGAAAAACAACACATGCAAACCATTGTCACAGCTCTAAAAGCATCATGGCATGCATTGCCATTTTGCTCATGCTTGCAGTCATGGCACTTCACACAAATATTATTAACCTTCACCTATAGTTAGGAAAATGTTTCCTTTGTACAACAGATAACCCCCCTTAAAAGCAAGCCCTAAGCATGACATTTGAGATGTCTTCTGGACATTGGACGGATGAACTGCTGAAACTGCCCAAGGCACAAAAACTGAGCCGATTTAGCATACAGCATAAGAATGTATCAATCCTGTCCAGATAAATTCAGTCTCATTGCAATATTTTTTTCAGTGGTATTGCAAAGAAATGCAACAAAAACTTGCTGATATGACATCAGCTTGAGCTAGGCAAATTGTTTATATAATGTTATTCAAATGCCTCACAATAATCACAACTTCTAAATAGGAATTATATTAGGGGTCAGCATGATCCCAGTTAGCCAAAGCTTTGAGATCAACATGTTCTATTCGCCACTTCTGTGTTGAAGATGATTCATCACACGAAGTCACATAGAGGCGTCGTGCACCAGGATCGCAGTCCAAGCATCGCGGATTATGTCCATGAACAAGCCATTGTTGCTCCTATACAAAAGAGAAACCACCCACTCATTGATATAAATGCTTCAAAAATAATGTGTAGAAAAAAGATAAAATCCTGAAAACTTTGATATATTACAAATAGTTGAAAAAACATTCGGGTAATTTACATTGTGGTGAAATCAGGAAAACGCATATCTGTATAGATATCACATAAGTATGAATAAGAAAAACATATAATATAATTTTTGATTAAAAAAAAAAAACAAATTTATATTTACTGTGACTTAATACTGATTCCTTTTTTTTTCTGCATTTACAGCTAGAGATTGGGACATGCATGTTACTTGTAATGATGCCAATAAGAATAGGGATATTTTATAATTTTTCATTACTGAGAAATTAAATTTTGATTTATTAAATGGAACTACATAAGAGGAATACAATGATGTATCATTTGTTAATGTCAGATAGAAATTTGAGTATAAAATGACACTTCTTTAAAAATGGTTTTAAATAAGCCAGTGATTTATGCAGCAGCTCTAGTAAATGTCACTTTTGGAGAAGGTGCCCCCAGGCACCGAGACTGTTATGGGGAGAGGAGAGACTGAGCGGTGTGGCAATGGGGAATACATGTGTAACTACAGCAATCCATGGTTTTGTCAGGATGGGCTCATCAATATTAACAATGAGAAGGAAATATAATTACACTTTTCTGATTGAAATTCCAAAGCATCATTGTATAACATCACAAATCTTGACAATCAGTTCGTTGGCCCTTCCATAAATGACTGCCGTTATGCATTGTTGTCCATGTGCACAGAGCTTAGTAAATACTTATGTACATATTTTTATTATGTTTTTCTATTATCCATCTCTTATTTTATTTTTGTTAATTTACAATGAGTAGTTGAGTAACTGTAATAATAACAAAAATTCTACCATTACTCTGATGTATTATCTGGAAATATTGTAGTAACATTCTTTAACCTTTCATTTTGCTAGTATTTGAAACGATTAAAAACGCTGGCTTGTTCCTACCAGTCATTAGATGTCGAGCTCTATTATTGTTAAGTTAGAAAAGTATCTTTCTTAGAGTCAAACCTGCTCATAGCTGGCGAGCACAAGGCGAATTAAATTTTTGTTAAAGACTGTTTCCGCCATTACCAGTTTTTCAAAATTTACTAAGACCAATACAACGCACTTCATAACAAAATAATTGTTTTAATTAAATCACTTTTAGTAGAACACATAACATACAACAACAGCGCGAGTTCGTTGCATTTAAAAAGATCATCTTGTACCCAGATGTGATCTCCGGAATTGTTTTCAGCCACTCATCTACTGCTTTATGATTGCTGTCACGTGCTTCCCCACATACCGTCTTGCAAGATAATTGATGTTTCTTCTTGAACGATTCCAACCATCTGAAGAAGTATATCTGTTTAAAACCTTAAAAACAATGTCGCCTACCTTGAGAACGACTTCAATGGCCTTGGCTTGTAAAATGGGCCGTAAATCAGCACGTTCATTGCTCGCATTTCAATGTACCATTCCCACGAGTTTGTTAACGTTTTCATTCCCATTTTTAGCAGCCCTTCGTTTGAAGAGAAGAGTTACCTTGGAACCATTTGTCCATAACAGATTCTTTTTCTTCAAAAATTGTATACACTTATGTCCACTTTATAACAAACTTTTCACAAATTGGATATTTGGGCTTGCCACATACTCTTGCTAGCTGCCATCTATCGCCACCCAAAGAATATTTTTTTGACATTTTCGTAATTTTTCGGTTTTCTAACAGTGGAACGGTAATATTATTTTAAGAATATTAAGGAACAATAAAACCTTGTCCTGAATGGCAATTTTCTTTGA